TAGCACAATTCAACGAACCCGCATATATGTAAGAAACCAAGTTGTAAAAAAAGATGTTGAGTGATCGTCTCAGAGTTTCAAACAGAGTTTCAAAAGTTGATGAATAAATCGACCGTCAACAAGGAACCGATCCACATATCATCAACTTCCTACCACAATACTAAAAAAATCATACAAGCTCTTTCGAACATAACCGTTTAGATTCAAACAATAAGAGTGAACTAGATAAGATTGAGATAGAGGAGAAAATCTGGAATCAAACGAACATGATCTAAATCACCACCACCATATAAAAAGATCTAGAGCAACACAACACCGCAACGCTTGTCGGGCCTTGAAGAACACTTACCACCTTGTAGATGACGACGATATTAGGTTGAGAATTCGAGTTGAAGCGTGACCACCAAAGAGGAAAACAGAGAATCTGACCCATCAACAAACATCAACCTAAATCCTCAAGGAATCCAAAAGGTCAACACAAAATCTAATCAAAACCACAAGTCAGAGTCGGAGAAACGAATCATGGTGGTGTCAGAGACAATAAGTCGAAGGTAAAATATTGAGCCACGATAGTACGTGAGACAACTATGTTGTGCGACCCCAATAAAATAAAAAATAATGTGAAAAAACCTGTTCTGGTCACACCATCACCCTCTAAAATTATATGAAGGAAAATGAATTTTGAATTAAAAAAAAAACAAAATTTGAAAAAGGAAAACAATAACGATGAATAAGATTAAGGAGAAGAGAAGACTGAACAAAACTAATTTAAATTAGAGAGAAAGAGAACTTAAATATTATTCTTTTAATATATTTCAATTTTCTTATAATAAATTATTGAAAAAATATATTTGTTTCCTTAGTTAAAATTTATGAGAAATTAATTAATAGAACTTAAAAAAAGATGAATGTACTTTTTAAATAAAGATTTATTTTGAAATCAAATAAATCATTTATTTAATAAATGACTTAAATTTATTACATGGATTTTTGTTTATAATGTATGATTTTTTTTTATTCAAGTATAGTGTAGTGTGAATTCTTTCTGCAATTTTTATTGGATTTTGGCTCATTTAAATTTCATCTCTTAAAATTGAATCTCTTCACATTTCACTTTATTATTAATGTCACAAAAGAGCATCCATCCAAACATGTATAAATTCTTAAGAATAAAAAATTATCAACTAAATATCGAGATACTTTTATGACGGCCTAATCTTGGAATAAGTTAGTCTACAAAGAAAAATATAAAAAAAGTTTAAAAAAAAAATGAAAGCGATAAAACCGAAAAACCTCGAAATAAAAATATCTTACCCGAAAGAAAAGCACTAAATGTAGAAAAATAATAAAAAATAAAAAAATTTGTGAGGAATAAAATAGAAAAGAGGTGGAATCATTGTTCATCTTTTGTGTGTCTGTAAATCGAAATTGCAATTTCCATTTTTCAAAAAATAAAAAAAAACTGAAAAACTCAAAACCCTAGCTTCTTCGTCATCGTTGTTATTATGATAATTGATTAACAGAGAAAGCATAAGAATCAAATCCAATAAGAATTTGTTATTATGTACAGAGAGCGAGGAGGCGTTGGATCCAAAGCGGAGGTTGCTTCCGTTGATCGGAAGCGAATCAACGACGTCCTCGATAAACAACTCGAACGATCCTCGCCGTCCACTTCCAGAACCATCAACGGTAAAGATAGGTCCCCCTCTTCCTCTCTCTTAACCGCTAAGGATCATAGGGACCCTCGCTCCGGTTCCGCCGCGATTCCGAAAAATCCTAACGCTTCCGATGGTGAGGTTTCGATCTGATCTCGTTTTTTCAATGCTAATTATTTTAATTTATTTTGTAATTACTCGTTATGCTTAACCGTTTTGTTTTTATTTATTTATCGCTTTTAATTCTATATAATTTGATAATAATAATAATAATATTAATAATAATATTACTTTGCTTTAGGTTATTTATTTATTTTTTTTGAATTTTTATTTATTCGTGCTAACAACTACTAGTAGCTTCAGTTTTCACTATCACGTATTCTATAAGAGTAGCTTAGGATTCAAATTCATATTCTGTTTTTTTAAATAATTTTTTAAGTAAGGTGAAATTTAAATTTGGAACTAGTAGATTTGGATAAAAACTTTAGAGGCGAAGCTTTGTTTTTAAATAGAGATTGTATGTTATATTGATACTATAGAATTATAGTGTTTGACTTAGTAACATTGACACCTCTGGAAAAAAAAGTGTCTGTGTCGGTTTCAGTTTTTGTGATTGTATCAATGTCAGTTGGTGTTGAGTTTCCGGTGTCTGTGCTTTCTAGGTGTTTGCAGAATTTGAACAAATTGCTCTTGTTTAGCGTAGTGCTATTTAGTACAAAATGTCTTCCAATGGTGACTATTGCAATGCTACAGCTACACCGCAAAGTGGAATTTGAATAAACCAGTATTTTTTTGTGATTTGGGATTGGTAACATTTTGGGGTGAAGTTGGATGTTTAATTTATCTTAAATTGTAATTGCATTATTGAGCTAACCTCTTATTAGAATTTGAATAAACCAGTATTTTTTTGTGATTTAGGATTGGTAACATTTTGGGGGTGATGTGTGGATGTTTAGTTTATTTTGAATTGTAATTGTATTAATGAGCTAACCTCTTATTAGATGCATTGGCTGCAGAGGAATCTGAAACGGATAGTGAAGAGTCTGATGTTAGTGGTTCCGACGGGGACGACACGTCTTGGATCTCATGGTTTTGCAATTTGAGAGGAAATGAATTCTTTTGTGAGGTTGACGATGATTACATCCAAGACGATTTCAATCTGTGTGGTTTGAGCAGTCAAGTGCCTTATTATGATTATGCTCTTGATTTAATTTTGGATGTTGAGTCCTCCCATGGTAAGCTTTGGTTACTTTTTTTGAAGTCTCTAATATTAGCGGTGATAGGATTTCTTGTTGCGTTTCTAATTGTGCTATGCAGAATATCTGTTTAGTGATTATTGTGTATTTTGTTGTGTAAATTGGATCGGTTGAAATATGTAGGTGACATGTTTACCGAGGAACAAAATGAGTTAATTGAATCAGCAGCAGAGATGCTTTATGGTATGATTCATGCCCGGTATATATTGACCAGCAAAGGAATGGCTGCCATGGTAGGATTTTTTCTCTGATTACTGCAGTGTTATTGCTTTACTGTTAACAAGGTTGGTACTATTAATGATACTATCTTTTCTGTAGCTGGATAAGTACAAGAACTATGACTTTGGCAGATGCCCAAGAGTTTACTGCTCTGGACAACCTTGCCTTCCAGTTGGTCAGTCCGACATTCCTAGGTCTAGTACTGTGAAGATATATTGCCCGAGATGTGAAGACATTTACTATCCTCGGTCCAAGTATCAAGGCAGTATCCTTATTTAACATTATATAATGATGATGTGTGTGTTTAAGTTCATTATGCATTGACTTGTCTCAGAAATTTACTTTTGGTTTCCTTATGCATATTGTATAACATAACACCTCTTCCATTGTTAGCTTTTATATTCTTTTTTTTAATCTCCCAACCGTGAATGGTCAATTAAGTAGTATGTAGGTGGAGTGAAATACTATCTTTTAAGGAACAGGGGGAGCCATGACTCAATTTTTTATGAAATTAACAATGAAATACTACACATTCACAATGCATATTGTTAATTTATTATGGGATGATTGATTGCATGGATCTATTGTTTTGTAATATATAATTGTGGCTTAAATTTAAGGTGGCACATCACATCCTGTACTTCTGAAATTCCTTGATTCTGTTATATAGACATTGATGGAGCTTATTTTGGTACTACGTTTCCCCACCTGTTCCTGATGACCTACGGACAACTGAAGCCACAGAAACCATCACAGAACTATGTTCCGAGAGTTTTTGGATTCAAACTTCACAAACCATGAGCTGAAGGTTGAAGTAAGAATTTGCCCACATCTCGTTAACTCTTTCTTACTACTGGTTGCTACATCATTAGCTTTTGAAATCAGTACATCTACATAACTTCTGTTTTTATATTTTAGGAACGTGTTGTAAAGAACATTGAATACGTGTTGTTCAAATTCTATGTTTCAATTTTGGCTTCGAACTTCACCAAGCTTCAAGTTCAACGAGCAAGTGGTTAGGTACTTCAGTGCACTCTTAATTGGTTATAGCAAATTGTATTCTTGCTCTCAGTCGCACTTAATCTTGTTTATGATTATATCAGATAACAGATGCCCTGCTATTTTATATTGTTTTATTCCATTTCCTCCCTTCCTGCATTAACAGTAGCGTTTGAATTTGAATTTGTGGATTGGACATTGTTTGGTTCACTCATTTTAGTCTGATTTTATAATTCAAGTGATATACTGTTATCTGTCCACCCAAACATCGATAATGATATAGAATACGGAACAATATGCCCTTATGAATTGTGAATCTTCTCACTATGTGCTTGCTTGTAGGCTTCATTATTTCTTCCTCCATTCCAAAACATCAGTCTTTTTAGCATTTTAAATTTGTTTCAAAACATTGGGTATTTTAGATATGCAAAGAAACCTTTGGCATTTTTCTTGCAAATATACCAGTTATAATAATTTTACCAAAGCATTTATGATGGGGTATTTATTGATATTAGATTGAAAACTGACATCAATGAAACGTTTTCAATATCTTTGTCCATTTACCTTGAACTGCTAATGCTTTGGAATGGAGTGTGTGTTCTCTAGATGTGGATACGATTGCTAAAATTGTACCACCATTTTAGGTGATCTTTTTTGCACCAAATTTATTAATCGTTTGATTTATATAGGTCTTGTTTGAAGCATAACTCCTTTCTCTAAGTTAGCACAAGTTCAGCTTCATAACAATACACCCATCATTCTTTGCTCTCACCAATGACAGTAGGGAGGGGGCAGCGAGAGGCACACATAAGCTTTGAGGTCTTGATTTAGGCATTGGTTTAGGGGAAAAAAGGGACCTAGAATGTTGTCATTAAATGGGGAGACTTGTCTGGATAAGATTTAACTGTGTCATTGACAATTTAGGAGTTGGATTTGGATTTGGAATCCCATAGGTGAATACTCGTTGGTTAAATTTGATGTGCAATTTGAGGGTGCTGTCAAATCTTATTGATATGGATTTTGAGGTGAGGGATTGTGGAGTACGGGATTGGCTCGCTTCCTTGATCTCTCGGATTCTTTTCCATGATAGAGATGGTTTGAAACTGAATAGAGATGAGAAGATGATACGATGCATTTTTGCAGTACATGATAGTGATATCATCCATGAGCCTATTCCATCTAACTGCATGATAGTGATACCATCCACGAGCCTATTCAATATGCTCTGGAACATTATCTTTTATGGACCACGAATATGGTGTCCAATATTCATTCAATCTAAGCAAGTCTATCTTAGGGGAATGCACTTTCCACCCTTAGGGGTGCACCCACACCTCTAGAAACTCGAAATTGCTCTCTGGATGTACCCAAATCACACAATTTTGTCTTTCTGATATCCACCCTATTTTGAATATAATATGGTTTGGAGATGCATCTTCGTACGTTATTGTTTGAGAAAGAGTTCAAATGATGGATGCTTGAATTGATGAGAAGCTTGAATGGACGTGTGAGAATTTAAATGGTAATGTTTGAGTTTTTTTTCCTATGAAAATGAAGGAGGGAAGGGTCTGACGCAAACATATGAAACAAAATCGTTCAGAGATATATCTTCTGATCACTCATTAATTTTTGAATTAATTGTGTTTACGGAGTTGCATCGCTGGATAAAATTTTGGCGTAATACGGTGTCTCATTAATTTTTTGTGAGGAATGGCTAAAAAAAGTGTGTACGGAAATATATCTCCGAACACTATAGACAATTGTGACTTTTCACAATGGCTTGTGGAAAAAATAACCCCTAACACTTATATCTTACTTGTTACACATGTGTGCTTAGTAAGTGTCCAACATATCTCTTCCATGTAATTTTGCTAAATCTCCTATTTATTCCACTTAATCATATCCCGGGGTCTCATGCCGCACGAGCTACTCTAAGTCAAATGAGCGTAATTTTTAATTTAGTTGCAAGTGTTGGTTTCTTTTTTCTATCGGTCTAAAGTTTAAAGATTAGTTGTTGTATTCTGATTGACTATGGAACATTCAACGAGGTAATTTCTTTTTACATCTTTGCTATTTTTATCAAATTTTTCGCGAATTTCTCAAAATGTTTTATGTTTTTGAAGACACATCTTGGAATATACTAAAAATTATTTTTATCACAAAAAACTTTAGAAAGGTATCTCCGAATTTTTAAAAGGGTGAACTCGAAAATGTATTTTTGAACTATACATACTTTCATAACCAATGTAACATGAATGAAAATATGACAGTAGGATAAACACAAACCAACACTAAAATCAATATTTCATTAGATAAAAACATTCATTACATAGATAGTCACAAAAATAAATTCATTACATAACCATTTTATCAGGACATTGCAACATGATTATATGTTCGACGGATCTTTGAATATTTACATCTATTTCAAACGGATCCTTTGATTTGTAACCGAGAAAAATATTTCATATAATCTTTAGATCTCCGTTCGTCTTTAGTTCAAGGTTGGTGAAATAAAACTTCTCTTCATTGTCAAACGAGGGTGACTGATACTCGAGCTTGATAACTCTGATTTTCTGAAAAGCATAACAGAGCATTCAATTTGGATATTAGATCCGCAAGGAAAGTTTTTCGGTGACTCTAAACGGAACCGATGGTTTTTCGCTATTGAAATACACAAATGCAAGGCCAGGATATCAACAAATCCTATATGGTTTTAGTGTGTTGGTGCACCAAATAAGGATTGAGACACACCCTATTTATACAAATATTGAGTCACTTTGTACCTCAAAAATCTTATCTCGTGTTAGGTAAAGTTTCGAAAATGCATAACCGAAAAAATAGTTCAGAGTCACATTTTCGTAAATAGCAATAAAGGTGACTTCGGACTTATATTTCCGAAATCTTCACTGAATCAGTAAAAAACTAATTTTTTTGTAAACAAGCACATGTAATGTAAGTCAAAATCATATCATAAAATAAAATTAATATATATTAAATCGTATCAGAACTAATACATACAAAAAGCAGATCAATTACAATCTAAAATGCATCAAAATATCTGGTACCGCATAAATCACAATTGGTTATGCCTTCAACGCTTCCTTGTTTAATTTTCTTTCAAGCTCCATCAATTTTGTGAACTATATTATCCTCTTCATAAATTGATTCAGTCAAGTTTCTGCTTCAATTGTTGAATGTGCCGTTCATTCCACTGATGTAGATGAAATTGGACACCCAGGTTTCAAATAAACCTGAACAAAATGTAGGCCCTTTGAAAGAAACCCAATGCATATGATGCGTTCAAATGTGCTTTTAAGTGGATCACTGCGTAATAGAAAAAATGTCTTTAAGAATATGTGTCTTGTCAGATCGATACACACTCTTTCGTATACACTTGCTATAAGGTAGCATTTTTCTCAAAAACGCATCTATTTTGAAAATGGTGCTTTACCGCTATGGCAAGGAGCAAGTGCATCTTGAACTGAATCAAAATTCTTTTGGATCCGTATAAATTCATGTATAACTTTCGATACATCGTCAACTCTTTCAAAAGTGTGGTGCGAACAAGTGGTTGATCCTCCTCTGATTTACCAAGCAAATCAGATATAATTCGATAACCGCAATTATCATCACCTTCAAACATCCACAATCCGCTAAATGTGTGTGCATAAAAAATGATATTTCATCAATGAATTCAATCCCGTGAATGGATGGTAGAGGTGGTGGTGGAGTTGGAGGAGGTGGTGGAGGTGGTTTGCTAATGCGACCATCCTTTTGAACACTTTTTTTTGTAGAGATTTTAAAGTTAGAGAATTCGAAAAATATGAATCAACATACTCAAAATAAGATGAAGACCGCTTTGTTGAATTGTTATTTTGAGTAGGTTTTACCTTTTTAGGGACACCTTTGATTGTAACCGACTGTGAATGAGGTTTCAAATATGTGGTTTTCAGATATACAATCTTCTTCAATTGCTCTTTGATATGCAATTTTATGGTGTCATCTGCCTTGAAAATTTTGTCTTGGATTATTTCTCACTCGGTCTGGATGCTTATACTTGTTTTACCGTTGTTAATCACACCATCATCATCATCAAACCGAAGTTTTTTCAGTGACTGTACACTTCATCCACATGTATCGGAGAGATATTCTTTGTTTTTTCCGCATTGAGACAAGCACATGGAAGACCATAAGTCTTCTCAAGTGTACTTCGACACTCGGCCTTTTCTGTACCTATCTGTTCTGCTCGCTTTACTTCGTGAAAGATGAAGTTCAATGCCGATCGAGATACACACCAACCAATTGTAAATAGAGAATGTTGTCTTTGAATCTATGTTCTTGCACTGTTATGCTTCGATTAAAAGTGGTTTGTATTTCTAAATGTTGGTTTTGGAGTATTTGATACATCTCGTCCCAATCTTTACAGAATCACCCTTACTATCACTCAATCATTTCTTCAACATCAAATGTGCTGATTCGACTCTGTTAGTTGTTGTAATTCTAAGGTGTCTAACCTGATCAGTCCATGCACATGATGTATGAAACACCTTTACAACCAAATTCATTAGTGTAGTGTCTAGATCGGTGACAACTACCTTCAATATATTATTTTAATCATTCAACAAAGTCTTTCACACTTCCAAGGCCTATTTAACGCTTACCTCTTTTTTTGAATTTCAAAAATACAAATTTCACTGAAAAAGTCTTCTCCGTAGAAGTAACACCAATGATTTTAAGAAGCGACTGTATCAATAATGAGGATAGTAGGAAATGTGTTGAACAACTTGATATTTTCAGGATGAGTCCATAAAATATCACGAATAATTATTTTATCATCACATACTGCGTACCTAGAGACATAGTGGTTTTCATCCAAATTTTTAAAACTTATTGCATTTCATATCTTGGACCCCTTATTGCCATGTTGTTTCTGTGACACTAATTATATACCTGCTTGATATTTGAAACACTTTCTGGGTGTTTATGTTTCAAATCTGTAAGTATGTTTTTTTGGCACCACTCTGACTAAATACATGTTTGAAACAATTTCCTTCTCCTCCAGTTTAAGACGATAAACGATGGGATGATCGACTAACGTTGTATGCAATTCATTGTTATGTATTCCAGAGAGAATATTAAATTTTCATATCTCATCAACGCTACAATATCCGTGCAGTTTAAATGGACAACCACACTTTCTCATTCTGGTGTCATTACATTTCAACTTTCGAATGGGGGGAGGGGGGATACGTTCCACTTATCTCACATATCATGGTTATAAATGATTGTCTTCTATTTGAACTATTGTAGGACCTTTCAATTACAATGCCAAACTCTAAATTCATGGCTACCATTCGGACCCATTGAATCATATGTTGCGAGTAATATACTATTGTTTATTTATGAAACGTTGACTGACGTCTATCTCTATCACTTTAAAATCATCTTTCACTTTTGTTCCGATTTATTATCCTCCTTAACTTTAACTGGTTTAATATCCTCCTCTGCTACATCCTCTATTAAATGGAAACATATTCGAGTGAACCATATCTAATAAGAAGCAAAATAATATTTTTTTAAAACCAGTAATAGATGAGTTTGGAAATGCATTTCCAAAAAAATATATGTGGACTAGTTTGGAAATGCATTTCCGGACTAAGCAAACGTTTTTTCAGCTCAAGTAGGGGATCAATGCAAGCAATGAGGGATGAAATGAGGGAACTTTACTCGAAATTGTAGCTTATGATGCTTCCATTGATGTGTTAAAATGCACAAAAATAGATTTTGAATCGAAAAGTTATTGATATTGATTTTTTAAAAGATTTTTTTGGTTATGGAGGGGTTGAAAGAGTGAGGAAGATAATCATGCAAGGTGATCATATACTCAAATTTTTTATGAATATTTTTGAAATTGTATTTTTGAAAATATCACTAGAAGATAAAAAAATTCTCATATGTTTAAGGTGACTTCGAAGATACAATTATGAATTTTTCTTGTGAAATGTATTCGAATGTATAACTCCAAATTAAATTTAAAAAAAATATTTAATACATTTGAAGATGAATTTTTAAATTTACTTATAAACATTTTTGAATTTACAAAGTTACGACGCACTAACATAGGTGAGATGAGAATTTGTCTTCAACGAACACTCAAAAAGGTTTGATTGAGTATATCACAAAAATAGGGCTAACACTAATTGAAAAATAATAAAACCATTGTTTGAGGTT